CTGTGGCGAGCCGCGACGGGCGCGCGTCAACGGCTTGGAAACCAATCTCTGGGGGCACCATGCCCTGGCGGCGGTCCAAGGGGCAGAAACGGCTTGACCGCTGGCTCTGGCCTGGATGGTCTACTCTTCGGCTCGGGCGTGCCAGGGCGAAGCAGAGGGCGGTGCTCGGTGGCCTGGGCGTCCGCGGCCAGCATCGGGCCCTCGTGTGTGCCGAGCCAGGTTGGCCCAGCCACCAGCCGCCAGTGGCAGCGGCACGCGATGCGGCATCCCCTTCTGAGAGTGCTGGTTCAGCGCGCTGACGCGCGCTGGGCCGCCGACGTCGCTGGCGGCGGCGCTGGCTTTTTTTGGGCCGTGGTCACCGCGCCGGGGTCGATGCGGCATCGGTCGCTCGTTGCCCCCACCTCGTGCCCGAACGCGACGGACGCGCTGCCCCAGACTCAAGCAGCCGTCCGAGAACAACATCAACCTCATAGGCTTGGCCGCGCGGTGCTCGGTGCGCTGGCGGCGGTCGATGCGGGCGGCGTCATGCAACTCGCTGGGCGCGAGGGGCCTCGCCGCGATCTCTTCCGGCATGTTACCCGCCGCCTTGCGTCCGCCTCCGGGTGCGCGATGGGCCCCTCGAACATCTGCGGCGCCGGCGCCCTCGACTTGCTCGCTGGCTGCGCGGGGGCGCGCCGGCCGCGGCGACGGAGATGGCCGCGGCGACGCCGGCGGGCGGGGGGCGCTGCCACTTCCGCGCGCTGCGGCAGGGCTGCGCGACCGAGGAGCGCGGCGACGCGAAGGGAGACGATTGTTGTCCTCGTGGCTGCGGCGGCGCAGCGGGTCATCGAAGCACGGGCTCTTGGGCGCCGGCGGAACTGGGGCCTGGTTTAGCGATGTGCGCCGGGGGGCGCCCCCCCCACCCCATTCCACAAACAGGAGCTGCCGTCGCCCGAAAAAACATAAGCGACGGCAGATCTGGAAGAGATTCTGGCAAATTTAATTGGAGGGCGAAAGAGGGGGTCTGCAACGGCGGGTCTTCAATGGGGGCTGACTGGCCCATGTATGCTCGATGTATCGCTCATGTATGTGATCGGGTACGATTGGCATCCAATGTTGGCGGTCATGGAGGGCCAGTCGTTCTTCCCCGCGCGTTGCCCGCGCGGGCGCGCGCGCCGTCCATCTATTATCGTTCATGCGTGTGGGCGTTCATGCATATTGCGCGTGGGGCGGCGAAGTGGAGTGCACGTGTGTCTTGATTGTGCGATTGATGACCGCGTATGTTCCCAAACGGTGACTTATCGATCCCCGAGACAGATGTGGAATGGGCCCCGCGATTCTCCCAAACTGTGAATTCACGTGGTCTTTTTTTCCAACATGTGAATTCACATTGTCCTTTTTCTCAAGATGTGGATTCACATATTGGCCCCTTCATACATATTCCTACACAGAATTCTAACATGTGAATTCACACTTTCCTTTTTCTCCAGCATGTGAATTCGAATTGTCCTTTTTTCCCGAAATGTGAATTCACATTTTGCGTTCCGCACAATGTGAATTCACATGCTTCCCTGGCCTTCACGATCCAAAACTGAGGCGCAGTGTTTCGCATGTCAGATTGGCCGGGCAGATTTTGACACTCACATCATCGCCTTCGTTTATTCCAGCCTTTTCTGTTTGCACCCTCAGCGCACGCTGCCTTCGTCGCCTTTTCCCGAGCCTGCGCAACCCTCTCCCGTTTCTCCCGCGCCCCCGCCTCTGCATATTTCAACCGACCGACCGCGCCTCCCTTCCTGCCCTTCCCTCCTCTGCTCATTCTGACCGACCGACCATGCCCCTCCCCCTTGCCCGACAGTTCCCCCCGCGCCCCCCTTTCCCCCCCCGTGCCCCCCCCCTCTGCTTTTTTTCCGACCGACCGACTGTGCCCTCTCCCCATTCGTGACTGTGGCCCCTCGCGCCCCCCCATCCCCCCCCCGGCCCCCGCCCTCTGCTTGGTCCAGCCGACCGACCGTGCCCCCCCCCCCTTCCCGAATCGTGGCGCCCCGTGCCTCCCACCCTTCTCCTTCAATGCACCCCACCCCCTTGCCCCTCCGCCCATTCCGACCGACCGACCCATGCCCCCCCGCGCCCCCCCACTCTCCGAACCACCCCGCGGCCCCCCCCCCCCACCCCCTCCCGCTGCTCATGTCGACCGAACCGAACGCCCCCCCTGCCAGCCCCGTTCCCCTCCGCCCCCCTAATTCCCCTTGGACGACCGTCCGCCACCCCAGCCCGTACAGCGACACTCCCTGCCCTCCCCCCCCCTTTCCCACCACGTGGGGCCCCCCACTTGCATTCCGACCGCCGACGGCGCCCGCCCCCCCCCCTGCCTGACCCTCGGCCACTCCGGCAGCCCCTCCCCCACCCCCGCCCCCCTCACCGCTTGTCGCATTCCAACCGACCGACCGGCGCACCCCTCCCCTTCCTGCCCGACCGTGCCCACCCGTGCCCATTCAATTCCCCCCGTGCCCCCTCCCCCCCTCTGCTGTGCCATTCAACCGATCGACCGTGCCCCTCCCCCCCACTCTGCTCCCAAGCGCCCCCCCTTCCCCCCGTGCCCCCTCCTGCTCATTCCGACCGACACTACCGTGCTCGCCCACCCCTGCACGACCGAAACAAAAAAAAAAAAAACGAACCTGAAAAGAAATAGGAAAACAAAAAAATAATGTTTTTTGTAAGACCGAAAGAACACAATGCACGACCGTTGCCATCAACGAGCCTCCCTTTCCCACTCCCGTGCCATATAGCCCTCCTCTTAAAAAGAAAGACAGATCGCGGGCCGCGGGCGCCCGCTAACCGCCGCACGCGCAGACGCCCCCCCCCCCCCCCCTTCTCCCTCCTTCTCGACCGTGCCATCCCGCGCCCCCCCCCCCCCCTCTCCTCATTCCGACCGGCAGACCGCGGCGCCAAATTATACCACGGCTCCGACGAGCCCACAGGGACATAACGAGTTCATCGCACCAAGGCTCCCAAGAGCGAACAATCCGTCAAAGACTTTTCGCACCTGTATTACTTGTGTCCCTCGGGGCCCTCTCGGAAGGTTTCTTGGGGGCCTCTTGGAGGCGTCTTGGGCCGTCTGCTTGGGCGTCTTGGATCGATCGCTCGACGACTAGGGGGCCTTTTTCCATCGTCTTGGGGGTATCGGGGGGCCCTCGTGGCCCGTTTCTGGGCCCTCGCGGCGCCCCGGAAGCCCGCGCGGCGCGCCCTGGGCCCGCGCGAGAGCGCCTGGTGAACCAAGGGCCCTGGCCCATAGGAACCTTGCACCCCCCCTGCCTCTCCGGACTGCGCGAGCCCTGGGGCGCTTTCAGCGCGCTGAAGACACGGTGGCGGACCTCGGCAACGCGCGCCATCGCGCCCCCCCTCTCGGGGCCAAGCGCTTCGCTCCATGCGGGGGGCCTGCGTTCTAAAACGCGCCGCTGAAGCCTCGCAAGCCTCTCCCGTCATATTGGTCGCCCTCAGATCGAACCTGGCGCTGCGTCCGCGCGGCCATGCTGCCATTCGCCGCTCCCCCGTTATGGTCACTCGCCAGCGCGTCGCAGCGCTCGCGCGCTTCCCCGAAACTTCCGCCAGTTGGCGCCATCTCCATCTCTCATTGTTCCGCATCCGTGATTGCATGGTCCTTAGCACGCGTGCGTATTGCATTGAATGCTTGACGGGCAGGTAGTGCGGTGGGCGCGCCGGCGCGCGCGCGGCTCTGGACCGTGGTTAGTGACGCTGCAGATTGGGCCAGAATCGGGGCCAGACTTCTCGGCGCGGCTTCTGGAACTCGGCGGCCCGACTCCGCGGGCGCCTGAGTTTCCGGGGCCAACCCGCGGGCGTTCGCGCCCGAAGTGATGCTCCGATCTGCAGATGCCACGCGTCGTCGGTGTCGCGCCGTATTCTGTGGAATTCATCATGTGGCCCTTGCCCGCGCCGCTGGTGCGTTTGTTCCTCCTTTGGTTTGGCCCTCGCCTCCGGGGGGAACGCGGTCGACCGGGGCGTTAGTCGGCTCGGCGAGGGAACAGTGCTTCTGGCTGCCCTTGCATAACCCTTCGCGTTTCCCAGCGAATGAATGTCCATTCTTCGAGGGCATCTTGCTGACTCTAGCTGGCGGGCTTGTTCGCGTGGCGCCGCCATTGGCGCTTGATGTCTGGTGTGCCAGAATACTTGGGCGGCGATCTGAGTTTAGGCTAAGCCTCTGACTTGGCCCGCCGTGGAATCGATACTTCTCCTAGGTCTGAGCTGGCGTCGGAACTGGCGCCGCCGGCGCGCGCAGCCCGCGGCGGCGCGGCGCTTTGCCGAGAGCTGCCAGCGCGCGAGTAGCCGCCTCCGACGACGGGGGGCCCAGCGACGCTGACAGCCCATGGGTCAAGCCCGCGCGGGCGCCAAGGGTCTACCGCAATTGCATCGTAACTAGCGTCGCTGGCCGCCCCCGCGAAGCCTCCGAAGGATGGCGGTGCACGGAGGGAGGGCGCTGGCGATGTCATTGGGCGCGCGCTCCACGACGTGGCCATCGCGCCTGAGCACTGCCGCGCGGATGTCGAACTCAGGCTCTGTGGCTTGATATCGGTCGCCGCGGCGCAGCGGTAGCGCGACATGAGCGGGCTAGCAGCGGCGCCGACCGCTCGGAGGAACAGCCGGCTGTAGCTTCCCAGGACATCCATCGTTGTGCGTTGCTCGAAATCGAAGCGTGAGAAACAGTGGGAGCTATGCGTCGGCGGTCACGAGCTCCCTGGTAGCTTGTAGGCGCGTGTCTTCAAGCAGTTGTAAAAAATGGGTCGCGAGGTTCACAGTGAGGTGCGTAACAGCCTCTTCCAGTTGTCCGTTGACCAATTCTCCTTCTGGCATCTCGATGAAGTCCATGGAACGGGTGAGCTCGCGAGCGGCACCGTCGAGGTTAAGGGTGATGGCATCGCGCTGTCCTTGTCGGTGGCGAGTGCGCTCCAGGCGAATAGATCCTGCACTCAATTGCGGAGCGGCTAGGCTGACTCCAGCGCGGATGG